CTGTACCTTGCTGCCTCACCTGGCCCAACCTCCTTCCAGGGATATAGTTTCAATGCTCTTCCTGACCAGGTCTTTTGTCCTCCTAGTCCCCTAACTCCCCCCACCCCCCACCCCCATTGCTCATGCTGTTCCCTCACCCAAGGCACTCTTCACATTATCCTTGGTTTTGAAACTTGCCCCTTAGGGCTGCTATGATTTTTCTTCCTACCCAGAGCTTCTCTTCTCCCATCCTAGCTAAGGATGATCCAGCTGCTGAAGTCATGGTTGGCCTGGTTCCTCGTAGGCACAGAGGATTGCACCATAGCTACATGGGTGTGGCTGACCTTGAAGCCAGCATCCCAGGGGGCTATGTGCTGGCCAGAAGCAAACATGGGCAGTGTTCCTCTTGTAGGCGCCTGAATGACCATGACCTCATGCTCCAGCTTTCCTGGCCCTGTTGGGTCTTGCTGAACCTGGGCAACTTCAGAGCAGTAGGCAAGAGGTGGGTCAGGAGCCTGTGTTGAGGACATCACCAGAGCATTCTCCTCCTTAGACACAGAGCATCTGCCATCCTGTGGTTAAGACTGGAGGAGAACTAGTCTGCTTGTCTGTCTTCTTCTTTCCTTGAGGCAGCTGTGGAAGTTTGTGGAAGTGGCAGGTTAGAGGCTATGTCTGTCATTCAGGGGCTGGTTCTTGATACCAGGGTGGTAAAGGCTCCCATCTTCTGCAGTACCATCTGGGAGGCCTTCAGGATGAGCCAGGGAAATCTACAAACACAACCACAGCTGTCCCCCATCAATCTGCAGGTCAGGAACACCTTTCTAGGGAGCATATACTCAAGGGAGGATAGAAGGGAGCCTACAACCAATAGAACGGGAAGATGATACTAGGTACTGCAGGATTTAAGATGGAGTTGAAACGTTGTGTAGGATTGGATGCAGTGTTGTCTGGAAAGGTCAGAAGAAGTGTGCCCCAACAGGTATCTCCACCTCTGTGACCCCCAGCCTCATAGCCTGTAAGCTGGACATGGTGGCCACAGGGATAGGCTGTGTCTTGTAGGTTCACACTCCGCAGGTGAGGGGTATATTGCTCAGGAACATCCATGCAATTTCCTTAGACAACTTAGTGAACTTCATGCATTGGATGTGCAGTGTAAATTTTCATGTAAGCATATGTTCATGAGACCATCAGCCACATCAAGGTAATGAGCTTGTCTCTGGTCTCCCCTGTTCCCTCTGAGTCCCCTCAACACACCTCTGCCACATCTCCACCTTAGTGTGAATTTTTAGAGTTTTATTTAAAGGGAATTGAACAACCTATTTTTTTTCCCATTGGACTTTCCACTAAGGTGATTTTGAGGTCTGTCTATGTTGATGTATCAATAATTCTTTCTTATTGGGAGTAGTACTTCATTATATGAATTACTATATATTTTTTTAATTTATCATCTGTGTGTATGCATGCACACATGTTACAGCATATTAGAGGACAACTTTGTAGAATTGACTCTCATCCCACCCTTATTTATATGGGATCTGAGGAATAGACTTGAATGGCAAATGCTTTTTTACCTGTAGAGCAATTTCTCAGGGCCTATATTTTAAAATAATGGAGAGCTGGGATTACAGGTGCATACACTGTCACATCTGGTCATTATGTAGCTTTGGGGATTTAAAACTGTGACCTTATTCTTACTTACATGGCCAGTGTTGTAACCACCCAGCCCCTTGTGGTTGTTTTTCTGCCTAGATGAGATCTTCTCCATTGCCCTGGCTGTTCTCAAATCCTGCCTCAGCCTCCTAAGTAGCTGGGATTACATGCATTCATTGTTGACTACCATGCTCAGCTCTGAAGTTCTCTCTCTGTCTGTCTGTCTGTCTGTCTGTCTGTCTATGTGTGTGTCTGTGTCTGTGTGTTGCTGTGTGTTATATGAGCTACTTGCATGTATGCTGTTGGTTCAAAGGTTATCTTTCCCACAAAGCTTTTGTCAGGTCAGTTCTGTCTCTAAGCAGTGAAGTGCCTCTGGGTTGTGGTAGCAGGTGGGGGTGGTCCTGTTCTTTCAAAGTCATTTAGTCTGTTCTAGGTACTTTAAATTGCTATATGTCCTTTAGAATGAACTGGTCATTTTTGTGAAAAGCTACTGGAACTTTGCCATTGGCTCCTTGAAATTGGTACATACTCCATGGTTGCTCTCTTGGGTTTATTAGGCTTTGCTTTTATTTATTTATTTATTTATTTATTTATTTATTTATTTATTTATTTTTCATTTGGGCCCTTATTTTGGCTGCCTTTCAGAGTTGGTTAATCCTTTCTGATGCAATGTGTCTACAGTTGGCCCCTAATTTTCCTCTACAGAAGTGCTACTGGGATCTCTTGTGTCCTCTGTTTGCTCTGTGCTCCAGATTGAGGGATTTGGTTCTGGTCCCTGAATCTCAGCCTGTCTGCCCTTCTGCTCAGGCTGTGTGCTGTCTGCTGGTGAGCAGTTCTTCCGTGGGTCTTCACCATGGAGCTTACGTGTTGGCAGCTGGATGTTTGTTTTCCAGAACGTGTTCTGAGCCTTGTTGTAGGGTGTAGTGGCTTGGAAATGGATTAATCCTTTCATGCTCTGTCTTTACACTTTGCTCTGCTCTGCTAAAGCAGCGTGTAATCCAAGCTGATTCTGCCAGGCCCTGGACATGCTCTCTCTGAGCCTGTGAATCCAGGGTCCCTCTTGGTGGTGGGAACAAGCTTGTTTTCAGAGTTGGTGTCAGGGTTTGTTCCTGCTCTCTTCTACTGAACTTTCCCATGGCTTCCTTAACCCTACTCTGACCATCCTCAGTGAAGGCTCGTCTGGTCCTTAGCTCTGGCTGCCCTACTGCCCCGCCTGCAGTCTTCTTCCACAGGCCCTGCCATCTGCCTCAGTCCTGTTGTGTGCCATGCCCCAAAGCTCCTCTGAAAGCACAAAGGCTGTCAGTTTCCCCAGTACCACAGACCAATGCCTGTTATTTTATTACATTTAAAACTGTGTGTGTGTGTGTGTGTGCGCGTGTGCGCGCGCTGTCTGGGCCTGGCATGCATATGCTATAATGCACATGTGAAAGTCCTAGAACAGCTTTTAGGAGCCAGTTCTTTCCTGCCACATAGGGCTTGAGTATAGACTTAGGCTGTAAGGCTTGATGGCAGATGCTTTTACATGCTGAGCTGCCTCACCAGTCCTGTTCCATCGTACTGTTCTGTACTTTCCAGGTTTTAGTTTCCCACTCTACAGGAAGTAGAGTCTGTCCCTGGGACTGTGGATCGTCTCAGTTGGAGGTAGATGTCTCCATCACAGTATGTTTGAAAAGCTGCCCAGGGCTGCTCCTGTGCCCCAGGCTGGTAGCTTGGGTGGAGGAAGTCTGGGCCCAGGTTGGCAGGTCCAGGCTTGAATATTGTGTCATAGTGCTTAGCCATCACACTTTGGAGAAAACTTCTGAGGTGTCCTTGTCCCAACTCCCAAGTTGATGGGTGAGTCCCGAGGAGCCACAGTGCTGACCTCTTCAGTGCAATCCCAGAGCCCGGCTTGGGGTTTGATTTCCTTTGTACGTCTTGTGGTAGACGGGCAGCATGGGCCAGGTGCTGTGTAGGTAGCAGTTTGTGGCTTGATCCTTCCATAGGATCAGGGTAAAGGCAGACAGACCAGAAATCACAAAGCTGAGCTGCTTTGATTTGTGCAGAGTGGATGCAGTGTTGGGGACTGAAAACAAATGGACAGGCCCTGGCCACCGCATGGGTGGCTTGGATATCCATAGTCTGCTGCAGGAGTGTTGCACTGTGAGCCCTAGGTTACCCCTCCACACATACTTCAGTGCAGCCCTGGTGCTCCTGGACTGTGTTGTCCTCTGGCCCATTGTGAGGCCTTCCCACAGTCTCTTGGGACACAGCATATTGCCTCAGACCAGACCCTGCTCCTTTCGGCCAGTTCCCTGACAGAATGAAAAGGAATTGCTTTCGGCATTTACATGTATTAGTGTTAGAAACTTCTCAGCTTAGTTGACATCTGTGTACAATGTGGCTTTGTATGTTTTGCTCATTGATTTCTTGATCTGAATTCCTAGATTTGTGAAGTAATAAATGGAAAAAAAATCCCTTTTTCTTTTAAAACTAGTTAAAGCCATCATTTCTTGTTCTTCAGTAGCTCTTCTCTTAATACTGTTTTCTGTCATGCGCCATGGCTCCTACAGAGTCAGGAAAGGAAGGCCCAGCTGGCACAGCTGTCAGAGGACATATGATGGAGGCCAGGCTGCTCGAGGCCCAGAGTCTGGATACAGCACAGCTGCTGACCTCGATGTGACTGCCTTGTTGTGGTGGGTGAGGCCAGCAGTTTTTGCTAATTGCTCTACTGGATAGTTTTCATCCTGCATCCCAGGGCCTGACACACTTGCTCCTCACCTGTGTCTGAAACACGCAGGTCCATGCGTCTCTACACACCCTGAGGTAGCCACTTTAGCTAATTGTTACTGTGCCCTGTCCTTAGGGCTGGGGCCACTGGTTGCCTAGCCCCAGTTTGTCCCAGAACAAATGATGATTTGACACCAGGTAGCAGGATGGGTCAGCTCCTCACCCTTGCGTCTCCTGGTAGCACACCTCCCAAAGCCCTAATTTTAAAATCTGGAATGTACCTTGGGTGTGCTCTGGGGTTGTTCCCTATTAGCTTGTCTAGGCTCAAAGTATAGACTAATTATTTCCTGGTCCTGGTTACTTTCCAGCTGGTACACACCATCAGGCCTCAAACTTAGTTCTTCACAGAGAGTTCCATGTATGTTTGCGGCCTTATGTCTTTCATGTTCTTTCCTATCACACCACATAGTGCTCCTAAGACTAGTATGGGTTCACTGTAAAGAAATGAGTCTGTTGTGTGCATCGCAGTATGTGCTCTAACACATGCACAACAAAGAGCTGCTTCCCATGGAACCAGGGCCTTTGTGTTCCTTGCGATCTTTTGTCCCCAGTGCTTTGCAGCCCCAGGACACCTATCTCACAAATGTCTTTCTCTCTCCGTGCAGGCATTTGGCCAGGCACACACAAACCACAAGAAGGTGGCTGCTGATGGTGAGAGCCGGGAGGAGAGCCTGATCCAGGAGTCAGCCTCCAAGGAGCAGTACTATGTGCGGAAGGTGCTGGAGCTGCAGACAGAGCTGAAACAGCTGCGCAACGTCCTTACCAACACTCAGTCTGAGAATGAGCGCCTCACATCTGTGGCCCAGGAGCTAAAGGAGGTTAGTGGGTGGGTGGACATCTGTCACTGACAGTGGGCTCATTGAGACTGTGTCTTGCTCCTGTGATCTCTCAGGTGAACACACAAACAGTTCTGTGCCTGAACTGTGCCCACCTGAGTGGTGTCATGAGTCCTCCGAGCAGGCCCTGGAACAGCATGGTAGTTAGTCCTTCGTGTGGTCAGGCCTAGTATCCACAGGATGCTTTGTCATTGGTTGACTGTTTGCTTGAAGAATGGTTTTGGGTTTTTTGTCTGTTTGGTTTTTGTCTCGCAGGGCTTGGGTATGCATGAAGGGTAAGCCACACCATGTGCAGGGAGGGATATCGAGTTAGAGTAATGCAGCCTGAATGATGAATGACCCAACTTGTGATTTGGTAGCCACAGACACAGTGATCAGCCAAGAGCCACAGAGAAGAATCTGTGGAACTCTGAGGAAGGAGGTTGAGGAACCATCACTAAAAGTTTTTATGTGAACTAGATTCCTGGTGAGGTCTACCTGTCCATAGTCTTAGGGCTAGCCTCAGGATCCTTCAGGCATGGAATAACACTGGCTTTAGCCCTCACCTGCTCTAGAGGCCTAGACAAAGCCTTGTTTTCAGTCTTTGAAACTTTTTGTAGAAGACCCTGTGTTCCTTCACTGCACATCTTCCAAGCTCTCTGCGCCCTTTCTAGTTGTGGAAGCCTACCCTCTGCCACATATGTTCTCACAGGGAAGTCAGCAGAGCACAGGCCATGAGGGTGTGCTGTAGTCAGTCAGGGCCCTGGAGGCAACTGCGTCCCAAACAGGAAGTCACAGGGAGGGAAAATGGGAGAGGCTGTTAGGAAAAAGGTTGTAGAAAAGGTTATAAGGAATCTCCACAGGCCCACAAGACCAAATCTAACTGAGGGCCAGTGTCAGACAGTGGGGGGACAGTCATGCTATGCCAGGAGACAACAGCAGAGGACAAACCAGACCTAAGAATCGTGTGAAAACAGAACCTCTACCCTAGATGGGTGTGCAGACGGTGAAGGCTAAAGGATTGCCTGTGGCTGGGCGGCAGGGGTCTCCACAGACCTGGGGACAAAGAAGGGGACAGTTGAAAGCGAAGGCGGCTAAGGGGTGTGTAGGGAGGCTCAGGATTTCCTTCTAAAGCACAAACAGGAACAGCAGGAATCTCTCCCACCCCAGACCGCCTGTCTTCAATCCGCTGACCTCATGTCCGGCCCTGAATGGCTGTCCAGCCTTCTAGGTTGCCTAGGGGCTGCATGTGGGAGATAGTCCTGCACTGGCCGTTCAGGAAGGAGGGGTAGACAGATGGATTGTCACTGCGGCTGCTTCTCTTCCTCAGTGACAGCCCCTTCTCTGCCCTCCTCAGAGCCACACTGTGGGAGGAAATGAGGCCATGCACTGGGCTCCAGGAGTGGCAGCTGCCTTCCCTGCCCCGTTTCAGACTGAGCTCAAGACCTCAACAACCCCACGCCAGGGGAAGCGACTACTCCCTGCTGTTGATGGCCTCTGGGTCAGAGTCTTTGGGCCTACCATGCAGAGGCTTGACTACAGCACACCCTCATGGCCTGTGCTTTGCTGGACTGAGGTCTAAAGCCAGTGTTAACTTTACAACACCAGGTAACCTTACCTGTGTCAGATAGTTCTAATGTCTTAGACCCTGTCATCCTAATGACTCTCTCAGTGTTCTGTCACATGAAGAAACTGAGGCTTAATGTGGCAGAACAATTTTAGGGTTCTGGTTGTGATCTCTGTGCTGTGTGAAGGGCCAATAGTAGACACCTCAGTCAGTTTTTGTCATTATTCCTGATAAGTAGATGGACATTCAAGGAATGGCTTGTTGAGACATGACACTGTCTCTCAGATAGATGACTGGAGGCCCATTAGTCCCAGTAGAGGACAAGAGTGCTCCCCTAGGTGATGAGTGGTCAAGCATCCTGTGTGGGAAGAGTTGGAAGCTCAAGAGACCAGAAAAAAAGGACCGGCAGTCCCCTGACACAGTGGCTTTATAAGGCAGGCAGTTGTCACACCCTTCATGCTGGTGAGCAGCTTGAGGTCAGGGGTCAGGTGGAGGAGAGCAGGTGGCTAGGACCTCAGGTCCTGGCTCTGAGTCCATATGCCCACTGCTTGCATCTGGGCTGGTCATCTGCACAGCGCAGAGCCTATACCCTGTACTCTGGGCTGACATCAGACACTCACCCTGGGAGGAGATGCTTTTCTGAGGGAAAACTAAACCCCTGTGGCTAGTTGGAGCCTGCTGGAGCTCTCAGGAACTGGGCATGTGATGGGCGGAGGTGGCAGGCAGCAGGCCAGATGAACCTCTCTGCTAAGCCTGGTGGCTGGTTGGAAGCAGTCTCCATAGAAAGAAAGTGTATGTTTGAGTCCTGTGCTGTCAGCAGAGAAGGTGCAGTTAACCTGTCACGTGATATTACCTTGGCAGCACATGACTTATGTATGTGTGCACATTTCTCTTTGCTTATCTTTCCACAAGGACACCCATCCACAGGTCCATGCAGGCCTGTGCACTCCACCAAAGGGAAACTCTTTTTGGCTAGATCCTGGGTGTAGCAGTGGCAGAAGAATAGAACTCCTAGAGATCCTTGTGAGGGTCAGGTTTACAGAGGCACTGAGGACTCACACATGCGGGCACTGCTGTAGGGTGTAACACTCCTGTGTGGCTCTGATGCTCCTAAGCTCCTATTCTGGCCTTCTGGCTCCATCTTCAGTCACATAGGCTGCACTCTGCCCTAGCCATGTGGAAACTACCATCATGTGTCTTACCACTGCCTTCTAGGTCTCTAATTGCTACCACATAAGCCCTGGAGTAATGGTGGGCTCGGACCTTGCCCTGAGGGCTGTGGCCACATGAACTCACTGGCTGAGAGAGGGCAGGAATTGGGATCATTTCTGGCAGAGAGAGCATTTAGCAGTTCGTCCCATACCCGTCTTGGAGCTCCATCCACGTGTGGTGTAGAAAGCCTGGGTGTGCTTCCATCTGTAGAGCACCCCAGGCCCTCAGGAGGAGTCTGTCTGTGGTCTTGCCACCATTGTAGCTGTGCTTGGGGCTGTTTCCCTCCATCTCAGCATGTGCCTTCCTCACCTTCTTCTCCCTTGTGATGGATGGCTCTGTCACCCTTTGGCCTCTCTTCCGTTTCTTCTGGTGTTAGTTCCATAGTCATTTAATGAGAAGGCTGTGCCTATCTTCATGGATTATGAATTAAGTCTTAGTTTTGAGTATTAAGCATTTATTGTAGTGCCTGCCATGCCTCTGCCTTCCAAGTGCTGGAACTGAAGATGTGCTGTACCACCACACGGCAGTGCGGCTGCTGCTGCGGCTATGGCTGTGGCTGCAGTGCTGCTGCCTCCACTCTTCTTTCTCTTCCTCTCTTCCTCCCCTCCCCTCCTCTTCATCTTCCCCCTTCCTTCTCTTCCTCTTCCTTCCCTCCTCTTGCCCCTCCTCCTCCTCTTCCCCCCCTCCTCCTCTTCCCCCTCCTCCTCTTCCTCTTCCCCCTCCTCCTCCTCTTTCTCTTCTTCCTCTTCCTCTTCTTCCTCCCCCTTTTCCTCTTCTCCATTTGTATGGTATTATTTTGTTTCACTGATCCAACATCACTGTTTTGTGTTTCCCCTGCACGGCATCTTATGAGGCATGCATGTGTCCTTCAGATGAACACACAGATGTGATCAGGAGCACTTCCTGTAGATGCTGAGGGACAGTGCTAGTGAGGACAGAGCTGTGGGCCTGGGCTGCTGCTTCAGGGACCTGGAGCAGGTGTGTTGTTGTTCTGGGGAGGCCGTCCGAGCATTGGGAACAGGGATTAGAAGCAGGCACGGAGCAAGGAGGATATGGGGGCTCTTTAGAGACCATTGGTGGTGTGTGGAAAACGTTGTCGTTTGTCACAGTATGAAAGAGGTTTGCAGCCCGTGAGCAGAGGTCAGGAATTTGCTGAACATCCTACAACGTATAGGATAGCAGTGACAATGCAGGATGATGTGGCTCTGAATATGCAGGACAGTGGCTCCTGGGTCCTGTATTCAATGCAGGCAGTGCAGAGAGGTCCCACAGGCTGGCTTTTGTTGGGCTCCTTTTGACCCTGCACTAGCCTCTCTCTGTGACAGTCTTCCCAACTCCTCACACATGACTTGGAGACAAACCAGCCTTCAGTAGCTTTATTGAGATGGTACACATCCCATACAACTCACTTAAAAATGTGCTCCCGGGTTGCTTCTTATCCCTGTTCCCAATGCTCGGATGGCCTCCTCAGACCAACAGCACACCTGCTCCAGAACCTGAGCAGCCCCACTGCTCTGTTGTCCCTAGGATGTCCCCTCAGCATTTGCATGGTCAGAGGTGTGTGTACCATGCTACAGCTGTTTTTTTTTTTGTGGTGCTGAGGATCGAACCCAGGGCCCTGTGCTCAGTGCCCAGCAAGCCCTCTGCCACTGATGCACTCTCCCTGCCTTTCAGTTAATTTTAGAGTATTTCATCACTCCAGTACTCTCAAACCCCTCTTTGGCCCCACTAGTCTATTTTCCTGTTTTGGATCTTTCTTATAAGTGGAATCATATGGTGCACAGCCTCTTTGCTGGCTTCTTTGACTTAGCAGAATTTCTCTACGGTCATTCGTGTTGTAGCAAGTGTCAAGACGTCATTCCATAATGTGGCTGAATAACCCTGCATTGCATAGACAGACAGTGCTTTGTTTATCCACCTGGAACACTGGGAACACTGATGCGCAAGGTTCTGTGTGGGTGTGCTTTATTCTCTGGTGGAGACATGCAAACGAACCCCAGTGTTGCCCCACTTACTAGTTTACCACTCAGATGGTGAAGCAAAGGAGTTAGAGTTGGGACATAAGTGAAGTCCTGAGTGAAGTGTATTGTGTGACGTGGGCATGGCCATGTTAGAGACACCAGTGCCTTGCTTAGGTCCAGGATTATGGCAAAGCCGCCTCCCAGTGAGGCTTAAAGGGATGGCACCATCTTCCTCTAGTCCAAATGTGATTGCTGACTGTGTGCAGAAAATGTTTCTGCCCGATGTTTATGGCCTGAAGACTGCTCCCCTCATAGATGGCTCCTACCTAGATTAGCTAAACCCTGGTGTTCAGCTGTACACCATAACCCGCCTCCCTGTCCACCCTTACTGCTGCAGTTAGGTGAACACCTGGAGCCTGCGAGCTCAGCAGGGTTAGAGCAGGTTGGTTCACTTGCCTGAAGTCCACACCTAAGAGAAGTAGAAGAGATCTGACCCTGGACTGTCTGCTGCTTTGCACAAACCCCACTGCCCTGGGCTTTGCTCCAGGCAGCCACATTGTTCCCCAAAGGGCTTACAGCATACCTTGCTGTGCTGAGCCCCTATGATATTTAGAAGCACAGTGATAGGGCCAGCTATAGAAGTAATCCACACAGCTTTTTTTCTCTGCCCCTGCAGATCAACCAGAATGTGGAGATCCAACGTGGTCGCCTGCGGGATGACATCAAGGAATACAAGTTCCGGGAGGCCCGTCTACTTCAGGACTACTCGGAGTTGGAGGAAGAGAACATCAGCCTGCAGAAACAAGTGTCTGTGCTCCGGCAGAACCAGGCAAGTCTCCAGAGTAGGGTCACCTCTGGGCATCTAAGTCCGTTGGTCCACCCATCTTCCTTCCCCTTCTCTGCGTCGGTCCACATACCTGAGGCCAGGACCAGTAGGACCTCCACAGTGGAGACAAAGGATAAAGTTCACAGCACCTAGCACTGCAAGAGCATGAAACAAGGCCTGTGACTTTAGTATGACAAGTTCTCAGGCCAAGTGTAACATGACTCTTCCTGGGGAGTCTGTTTCTGCTTAGTAGAGATAAGTAGC